TCTTTCCTACTTAATTTATTAATTGATTAAAATGTTGATGTTACTTACTTTTAATTTTCCCAATTTATTTTTGTATGATGTTATGAGAGAAAATAAGTTCCGGAATTGATCTAAACAAGTCATTGTAAAAACTTAAAAAATCTTTATTCTCACTCTTATTTTCAATCTTTCAATCCCATTCTACAGACTGAAGATATTGTCGCAAAGAAACATGATTTCTTTTCTAGAATAAGGAATGAAAATAGCACCTTCTATGACCCATACAATCTTCGTATTAAACATTTTGTGTTTTTCGACCCGCCCTAACATACATGAATATACATATCGTCACCTGAAATGCAAAAAGACGTACCAAACATCGTCACTGTAATGGAAAAGGTCGTGACCATGTAATAATTTTTTTCTTCATAAAATGATGTGGGAGTTGTAATTCGATGAAATACAATCATATCAATCAGAAAGTGAATTTCGAATTTTTTATTAGTTACGACTTTTTTCATTTCAGCGACGATGTTTGTTACGTCATTTTGCATTTCAGGCGACGATATGTATGTTGTACATATGCATGAAGTGTATATACATATATGTATGTATCTACATATTTATGAATGCATGGATATTAAGCCGTATCACAACATATGAAAGCAAAAAATTTATCGTGTGTCAGTGTTATTTAACTGCTTATGTATGTCGAAAAAAAATTGTCAGGCCCCCGCTAAAAACAGCTAAATCGCGTTTTTTTGCTACTTTTGAGGACTATAATTACTAATTATTAACCAATTTCGATTTTAAAAACTGTTTTGATATATACCTTTACTAATTAAAAATAAAAATCTAGGGATAGTATTTCCGAAATTAGTGAAGGTATAAATAAAAACGGGTTTTGAACCAAATGGCGAATTTTTGTCCTGAGCGAGATCTTTTCGGCGACATAAACATTTTAAAAATCAGATATCAAATAAGTTATAGAAAAAAACGTGATTATTGGTTTTTGGCGGGTGCTTAAAAAAATTGTTTGACTCCCAAAATTTTTTCCCAACATACATAAGTATTCAAACTGGCATACGCTAAACTTTTTTCGTGATACGCCTTAATGGATATATGTACATATATGTATAGACTTTCATATGACATTTGTACACATATGCATATAGTTATGTACATATATTGCGTAAAGTCACATATGTATATTGAATAAAGTCACCAGGGTTAGAACTGCAGAAAGCCTAAATCGGAGTAAATGACGGGTAAAATTGTAGCAGAAAAAAAGTTCCGTGTAGATTTTTTATATACCGCTCGTTTGATGGAAAAACGTTTAAGTAGTTTACGTATGCAAAATGTCTACCGACCCTTCTTGTTTGATCTACGAAAAATGTGTTACGACACCTTCCAATTGAGTGCCTAGAACTTTGCGCATACTTAGCAACTACAACTTGAAGTTAGTCTCTCTTCGACCACGATAAAAAACCAAATTAAGGTTTCATGATGGCGTAATCTCCTACTATTTTCAAAAATTGTTTATGTTTTACCGAACTAAGTGCAAACATTTTCTAAAATTACGTTTCAGCTATTTAATATTTATGTTTAAAAGATATGTACATGTGTGTTTGTGAGTATATACTTATGATTAGATGCATACATACACATTATATCATACATACCTTAAATGAATTCTTCTTTTCATATTTTCATTAGAAGTAAATGCGTTTGTAAGATTTAAAACGAAATACAATTCTATTTCATGATTTTATTTTAGTTCAAATACTATATTGTTTTCAAAAGAAGATCGTGGTTAAAGTGGAGTAGAGTAGTAAATTTTTTTAATTTTCTAAAAAAAATTTAGTAAAGCTCTACGATCGTAGTAGAGTTCTAACACTGAAGGCCACAATACTTTGTTACTCATTTATGGCACCAATTTTCAGAGAAGTGCAAAATTTTAGTTAAATAAAATTTTCTAAAAAAATTGTAGTAAAGCTCTACGATCGTAGTAGAGTTCTAACACTGAAAGCCACAATACTTTGTTACTCATTTACGGCACCAATTTTCAGAGAAGTGCAAAATTTTAGTTAAATCAAATTAATACATATATAATTATTATCTGAGTAATAGGTAATGACGTATACATACGTTGTAGGGGATTTCTCAAAATGTGTGTAGCATGAGTAAATAAATACATACATATATAAATACTTACCTAAATCTGCGGTCAAGTCATTAAACTCATTAATGCATATACCAGCATTCCAGATTTTGTGCTGGAAACGGATTCTAAAAGGTATTACTTTGGAATGACTAAACTGTCTTTCGCTTTTTCACCTATTACTACCATCCATAAATTAGCGCGTCAAACGCCAAGGAACTGTCAAAAATCCTCATGCGCATACAATTTGTACGAAGCATCCCACAATAACGCGGCGCTATCGCCGGGAAAATGGATTATTATTTGTTGACAGGGCGTTACGTGTTGAAATTGGATGCAGAAGACTGAAAGAAAAAGAGAAGACAAAAAAGTGAAAGAGTAAACGAGAATGAAAAAGGGAGGAGATGCGAAAACGTTAAAAATTACGCCGCGTTGATTTGGGTAAAGCGCGCAGGCACTCGTTGGCATTGGAAAACGCAACGCTTAGCGCTCCAATTTAGGGAAAGCAGTTACCGCCAATTACTGGAAGCGCTTACCAATTTCTATCGATTTCCCATTCGTTTCTTAGGTAAACACGTTACCACAAAAAGTGATTCAAGATGTTTTGCTGGGTAGGTACGAGAAATTATTCTGATAGTAAATACATACATACATACATATGTGCAAATTTTTGCTATGATTAACCATTTCTTCAATGAAACTTCACTGGTTTAAATTACATACATATGTATGTATATGCGAAATAACACAAACAGCAATAACCCAAATTTGTGTTGTTTCCCGGTCCGCGTTCGCGCGCCGCGCCGTTTTTTTTGCCGAAGGTGTTGCGGGTTTCTTACGTATATAAATAAATTGTATTTATTCGCAAATGCGAGAAAAAAAATCTAAAAAATCAACGGAAATTTTTAGCGGCTTGAGACCTGCACATTAATAACAGCCGTCATCGATTCGCCATTAGTTAGCGAGTGGCGAAACGAACCAACTGAATGAGGAACAACCAAACTCGCTATCGTCCATCCTTGCTAGATGTCTAACTTTGTTGCTGCTCTCACATGTAAAATGTTTCGTTAAGCGACCGGAACTCAAACATAGCGAGCAGAGAAGTGGCGAATCGATGACGGCCAATCCTCCGATTTGTGGCGTATGTTGTCACCCATGGAGGAGGGACCTACATACAATTTTACGCCGACTCCTAACGGCGATTGTATTGTGATGAGAAGGTGTTTTTTATGGAAGAAATACACTCGGTGGTTTGCATTGCCTGCCGAGGGGCGACCGCTGTTAATAAAAAGCCTTTTTTCTATATTTTTTTGCGACGTTGCTTTGACCAGGGCTTGAACCCAGGCCCTGCGGAGTGGTGGCGCGCACTGCTAACCACTACACCACATCGGCCGCCACGTTATTAGACTAAAATTGAATTATGTGAATTATTTCACTGTTCTGTATGAACTTGATGTCTTAAACTAACACAAAAATTATTGCTTTAATATAAAAAAAATCCGAAATTCCTCTATCATGGGTGGGACAACGTTTGTCACGGGCGGGACTAGGGATGTCAATCCCGGGATCCCGGTCTTTTTTAAGTCCCGAATATCCCGGGATTAGTCGATTTAAATCCCGGGATTGCTGGAAACAATTTTTTTGTTAGCCAATTAAATTTTTATCACAAATATCCCCTCTCAAGGGCAAAACAAGAATTTTTTGCAACCCTTAATGCTATAGTTTATTTAAGATCGCATTTCCATCAAAAGAAGGAATAATTTTACTTCGCTCAAAATGGAATAGGTGATGCACTTATATATTTACTTTTTACTTAAATGTGTTAACTTTTTTATTATTACTTAAATATACTGATAATATCTTAAATTGATCGCAAACAGTGATTTAAAAAATTTTATATAGTTACATAGGCAGTTACTGCTGTACCAAATACAGTCACTTACAAAAATATTTTGTATCGATTTTTTTTGCAATATTTAAAATATTTTTCATGGTATTTTTTTGTTAATTAAAAAAAATATATAGCTCATTTTACAACAAAAATCATGTAAATCAAAATTTCACACTTAAGAGAAAGTTGGTTTAAGTTCACCAAATTATCATAAAAATATCAAACTTTTTAATCATAATTTTTACAAAAAAATCTATTATGCAGTTTTATAGCCCATTCAATTTAATACAATAAAGTGCAATTTTAAAGTTTCTAGAAACTCCCTTGATTTTTGAATTTTTTTTACTGACGATGTTGGACATTTTCTTCCTTATAACGAATTTTTTTGTGGCAAAAAAAAAAATATATAAAATGTCAACGGGATGTTTTAGCAACTTCAAAATTGCACATACGTATATATTTTTTTAAATTCACAAAAAAAAATACCATGAAAAATATTCTGAATATTGCAAAAAAAATCTATGCAAAATATTTCTGGGAGTGACCGTATATGCATTTGTACTTGTAGTACAAAAACTATGTTATAAATTAATGAGGATATGTACATACATACATATATGTTTGTTTTTTGATGATTGAAAATACTGATTTATCGCCTTAATAAATATGTAAATGAATTACAATAAAC